GAGGAATCGTTTAAGACACATTTTAATATTAGTGGAGATTTGAGTGGAGATAACGCAAAGAATGCTTCTCTGTTTATAGTGGACCTAAAGGCACCTGAGCACAGTGCAGTGTATTACTGTGCAGCAAGCTATGCACACTGAGAGGAAAACCCCTCCCTGTAATACAAAAACTCAAAAACAACCAACTTAAAGGGCCGAAGGAACCAAAACGAAAAAAACCCCCCCAACCCCTGGGTAAAACCCAACCAAGAAAAGGGTCAACTCAAATAAAACCTAAAAGTTTAAGACAGATCAGTAAAGTCCGACATCAAAACACAGCAAGTTCAATTTAAAGACACGTTATCAAAGGAAGGTCACAATGATTGTTTTTCTCTTTTTCTGGTGCCTGACAGGTAATACCTTGTTTACACACCATAAGATCCTGTTGACATTTATATTGTGTCATTAAGTGTATCATCTGTTATAATTTAACCAGAATTTTTTATGTTTGTCTATTCAGGCGATGTTAAGATGGAAATGGTTTCATTAAATGTGTCGAGTTATGGTCTAAATTGAATTTTCTTTATTCTCTATCCAGGTGTCTGTCTGGGTGTAGAGGTTGGTCAGACTCCCTCTGAGTTCATCACAAATGTTGGGTCCAAAGTGCAGATTTTCTGCAGCCATGGAAGGACTGACTACAGGGTGATGCTCTGGTACCAGCAGCCACCTGGAGAGACAGCTATGAAACTCATTGGGTTTTTAAACCTCCAAGCTTTCACATTTGACCAAGACCAATATAAAGATCATTTTGATTTTACAGGAGATTTGAGTAGGGATACAGCAAAAAATGGCTCTCTGATAGTCAAAATGACACAACATGAGCACAGTGCAGTGTACTACTGTGCAGCTAGATATACACAATGACAAAAAGATAGTCTGAACTTCACAAAAACCCCACGGCCTGGAATCATCAGTGGTTTGGAAAAAAAAAAACTGATTTGAGACACCTGTTTTTGTGGTTTTGGTTTTTACTTTTGATACAGTTTTGCTGGCTTATTACAATTTTACCAGACTAATGAGATTTCTAGTGTGTAATAAAAACTTAAAAGCAACCCAAGTTTTTTGGATAATTCAGGTGAAATAAGAGAATAGAGATTCATGCTGGATCTTAAGCTTACAGTAATTCATCACCAGAAAAACAGATGGTAAGTTTGTTAGTTTTAGTTTTACAATGAAACAAATCTTTGCATCTTGACATGACCAACAGTGAAACAGTGAAGATTAGCAGAACAGAAAATATGGATAAAGTTAAATAGTAAAGAATAAACAATAAAATATTCAGTTGTCGCTTGAATATACAGATTCAGAATTATTTCGCACAATTTTTGTAATTTTGTCTCTGTAAATCACCACAGTGGACTTTAAATTAAACACACACAAAAAAGCTGTGATCAAAGTGCTGACTTTCAACTTTAATTAAATGGATTTAACGCAAGCACTGCTTTAAATGTTTATGAACTACAGCTTTGAACAGTCTCCCATTTTCAATACCTCACTGAGTAGTTGACTGAGAAGTAGTTTCATGGCCATGCCAGCCTGTTTAGTCAAAGTGTTGAACTGTATTTAATAGCTTCAAACTCACAATTCAGTATAAAATCTAAAGCGATATCAGTGCAAATGAAAGAGGACATTATAAGGCTGCACCTCCACCCCCACAGACCACCTTCATGTTGGATATGAATGACCATGTTGTTTGACATCAAACACGAAGCCTTTAAACTTGTTGTTTCCATCATCATTTCTGTTCTCCTGAATTAAATGTATCATTGAACTGATGATGAGAAAAACTGTCTGCAAAATTAACAAGCTGATTAAAGCTGTAGCATGTCAAACATTATATTTCTTAACAATTACATTGAAAAAATTATATTTCAAATAATCTGAGAAAACTTAAAACAATTATGACTGTATACTTGTTCATCATGTTAACCAATAGGAAAAATGACTGTGTTTTGCAGAACATCTGCCTGAAGTGGTGCTGCATCAAAATGCTGTTTGTTGCCAAACGGAAGAAATAGTTGCTAGTTCTCTTTAAACTTGATTTGGTGTTTGTACCAATGTGATAGTTTTATTACACTGGGACATGATCTTATTATTGTTGTAGAGTCTTTACCTTCTAACATGGTCACGAGTGTATAACCACAGATTAGAACCACTACAGGGAGCTTGCACAGTCCTAATGAAATAACCATCCAGATTATGATTTGTGTTACACATCTCTGTTCAGTTTAGGTCTTTGCTATTTGAAGTCCTGTCATAAGGTGGCAGTATGTCTGTAGTGCAGTGGCTCTTCAGAATCCACTGCATCACTGCCGATTTCCTGATGGGAGGGTTTACCCAAAAATTACACGTGAATGATCAGCAGACTGATCTTTCACTGAACACAGAAGACATAATGTTCATGAATGTAGTCGTGCAACACAACATGATGATCACTTTCTTCTGCATAAGCTTTAACATCATCCTCGTGTCAGGTAATGCACTTTAACCTTTCCATTTTCCAACATTCCCTCTCATATTCCTTGTTGTAATTTTTTGTGATGTTTTCATTGATATTTTTCACAGGTTCATCACTCAGTGACCAAGTCCACCAGAATCCAGCTGATATGTATAAAAATCAAGAAGAAAAAGCTGAAATCACCTGTTCACACAGTATAGAAACCTATAATCAAATCCTCTGGTACAAGCAAACAAAAACGGCCAACTGCAGCTCCTGGGATACATGTTGGGAACAAGACCAACTGTATAGCCTGGAGTGACTGTGATAATTGGTGGGAGTGCAAATAAATACCAGATCTGCACACTGACAATTAAAGATGTCTTCATGAACAGCAGTGCAGTGTACTTCTGTGCTGCTAGATTCCACAGTGCTACATATCACTGATCCACAATACAAAAACCTCCTCACTACCAATTTTTATTACTTACCACCTTGCACCTGTTTTCTAACCAATGTTTTCCATGTGATTACAATCATGAATAGGAAATTCTTGCTGTGAAGCAAAGCCTTTAACTTTCACCTACCATTATAAACAGTAGCAGGCTTAAAATTTTGAAATAGGTGCTATATCTCATTGTAGTCTCACAATGATTGCTCAAGTCCTCATTGAATCACATTAATAATTCCTTACTGTGAAGTAACTGAAGTAATACCTGTAGCCTCTGTATAGGAATTTCTTTTATTTATGTATTAATCACATTATTTTATTGTATAATGCCTTGGTGCCACTGGATTTTAACATATCTCACACGCATACAGTACAGATGGTGGGGGTCTGGTAAGGAAGTTGGGGGGAAGCAGACAACTCCACAGGAAGAATCTTTTGTCTCTTCGAGGACTCTGGGAAGTAGCAAGGGAGTGTGAACCTTAAGGTGTGAAACAGCTGTGTACTGCCTTTTGTTCCTGAAGAAGGTATTTAACTGAGAGCCATGGTCAGGTGAGACTCTGCTGACCGTCTGCCCCGCGATCATGCAGGCTCTCCACCAAGCTTGGTTTTTCTGTTCTTTGTGTTTTGATTAAAGAATGTTAGCTACCGCTCACCGCTCGTCTGCAGGCTTTATTTAATGGAAAACTTCCACAACACCTCCACCTACCATTATAAATAGCAGCTGCATCTCCTTGTAGATTATCACTGGGTTTTTACACTACCAAGCTGTCACATTTGACGAAGACCAATATAAATATGATTGCTCAAGTGCTCATAATGTTTGTTGTCTCATCTCTGTGGCTGCAACTTATAATATTTATCATCATAAGTTTTCAGGTTATAGATCTCTCTCTCTCTCCCCAAAAACTC